ACCATATCTGGGCCAAGTTCCAGCCAAGATAATAACCCATAACTGGGGCTAAACAAAGCCAGATGTGGCCCATATTCAACCATTGTCTGTAAGACAGATTTAATGTGGCACGAATGCAATGAAATTGATAAATTGTTAAATGGTAGAATTTTATTTTATTTTTTTAAGCAGAACAATTCAATGTGTGTTTTTAAACGGAATGAGACAATCAGAATTTTAAAACTCTGTCTTATTAAAAAAAATGACTTTGACATTTGGCTAATAATAATTTAGTTTTAAAATAATAATTTGGTTAATAAAATATATGTAATGTATAGTAGGTGATATTCAGTCATTTTTTAACATACAGGAAACGATTGAATATCAATAGATAGATGCAATAGATTAACAAGAGATGCAAACAGAAAGATGGAAATGAGCTTGTGTATTAAAAGACTTCTTTACTCCAAAAGCAATTTAAATTAGGTTTTATAAATTAATCGCGAGAAGAGCAAGTCATATGATTAATCGCTGCTGCTCTCGCATCGGTAATCATTGCTAATCCAATCAGATCATTTCTAGCCTCCAAAAAATAAACTCATTCATCATACCTTCCTTATCTTCGTATCTCAGTATCTCAGAGCTCAGGGTTCTCTCCCGGGACAGCATGCAAAAATCTGCAAATTGCATTAGGCAATAGCTAAGTGTGAACTCTTAAAATATATTTTGAATGTGGGTCAAGAAAGAGCAAACTTTTGTAGCCCACATATCAATTTTTAACATCTGGACTAAATAGTAGAGTTGAGATCTTACGTGCCGCCTTAAAGACGACGCCACCTCTGCCAAACCTGGGCCATGTTTGGCCCACATGCTGTATGCCAGTGCTAGCTTTATGCCAGATATGGGCAAGAATTCGTTGCTACCTGTTTTGGTGCTCTATATCAGTACACTTAACCAGTAGGTTTGTGGCGTCGACCATTTTAATTTCTACATTGTTATTTTACGAGCCGCTCAAATACTTTTGAATAAATGATTTTGAAAACCCGCAACAGAAGCATGAGCACACCAGTGATGGTGATGCTCGACTTGGCAAACACGGCTAATTAAACATGAAGGAGGTGTGTCTGATGACCCGCACATGACCTATAAATGATTTACCGCGGGAAAGACGAGCAACAGAGAGAGGAAAAATCAGCCTAGCTGAACGCAGGCTTCCTGCAGATTTCAGCAAGTCAGAATTAAGACTTTTAAAGACATTTTTAAGACCGAAGTTCAGTGATTTGGTGTTTACCGAATCTGTCAATCCAATGAACATTCGCAAACTTGTGAGGTTTTATTGACACCTCCAGTGCTGTACACTGAAAAAAGTGCTGCATGCAAAACTGTTGCAAACAATTTATTTGTGTTGAATTTAAACAAACACATTAAATTTAATAATGTTCAACTTAACTTGTTTGTTTAAATTCAGCCCAAATAAAGTGTTTAAAACCACTTAATATAAAAAAAAAAATAGAGTAAATCCAAGGAATTATCTTTGAATAGTTTTTTTCAGTGTAGTTAAAAGCAGATTTCCTGGCTGTGTTCTGTTTTCAGTTATTACCCCCATGCCCTATTATAACCCCTATGCCCTATTATAGCCCCTATGCCCTATTAATGTGCCTATTTTTAACTTTTCGATTATTTTAAAATAAGAATCAACACAAATCTTAAGTTTTTTTTTGGAATCAACTTGATTGATTGAGCCACTCGAAACCATTAATGCCATTTTGAATGCAGCCGTGGTTCATGACGAAAACATCTTTAAAAGGATTCAGGGCCTACAACACAATGTCAGGGAATTTAAAGGTCCGGTGGAATCAAAATAAAGTTTTTAGATGTTAGTATCTGTATTGTTAGTTTTTAGAATATCTTTAAGCTAGTGCACAACAAAAGCTGCGTTTAGAATATATAAAATGGACAGAAACATTAAAAGCTTGCAGTTTGTCACTTCTGGCAAAAAATAAAAAATAAAAATAAATATATATATATTTTTAATTTCACTTCACCTAATGATTCAGTTTTTAATTAAATCTTCTGACCAATCAAATGCTCTCTAGTATCTGACATCTCTAGCATTCAGGCGCTTAACCTCAACCCCTCTCACTCTGTTTTTTTTTTAAAGGGGAGGAGCTAAATTAGAGAGTCCCCCCCGTCTCTATATGTTTCAAATGAGATTATGTGAAACGTCGAATTAAAAACACACATTTCAAAGCACTTCACGGGATCTTTCAGTCTTTTTGTTGCATTCCCCTGTAGAACGCACTTTGGGGTTATGTGTGTGCGATTCTGTTTGTATGCAATCGTTTTACGTGTGTTACAGGTAAGAACAGCATTGCAGGATCTGCATTTCGTGCTGATGACGTTGGCAGCTGATGCTGGTTTCGCACCATCAATCGCTGGCATATCGTTTAAAAGAAAGCCCCAACTGCAATGTAATGTATAGCGAATTTATGATGTATGTCCATACACCCAAAGCACTTCACAATCATGAGGCGGTTTTTTCCACACCACCACCAGTGTGCAGCATCCACTTGGATGATGTGACGGCTGCCACAGGGCAACGGCGCCAGTGCGCTCACCACACACCAGCTATTGGTGGAGTGGAGAGACAGTGATAGAGCCAATTCGGTGGAAGGGGATGATTGGGAGGCCATGATCGTAAGGGCCGATAGAGGGACTTAGAGCAGGGGTGTAACCCTGGCCATTCACGAGGAGTGCCATGGGATTTTTAATGACCACAGAGAGTCAGGACCTCGGTTTAACGTCTCATCCGAAAGACGGAGCCCACTGACAGTGTAGTGTTCCCTTCACTTTTACTGGAGCATTTGGACTCACGCAGACCACAGGTTGAGCGCCCCCTGCTGGCCTCACTAACACTACTTACAACAGCAACCTAGTGTTCCCTAGTGGTCTCCTAGCCAGGTACTGACCAGGCTCAGCCCTGCTTAGCTTCAGTGAGTAACCAGTATTGGGCTGCAGGGTGATATGGCTGTGGCTGGATGTTGATCTCTCTCTCGCTCTTACTATTTCTTTGATTTGTGTGGGTCTCTGTGAGGATAGTCTCTCTTGCGAAGACTAGTCTGAGAGAATGTGTTTTCGTATTGTGTTAAATCTGTTGAGATTGCAACGTGTTTGTTTGTGAACTTATCCAGTTAACTGATCAATTTTTAAGGTAATACCTCGGAGAGGGTGTAGAAGAGGACAAGTCACGATATAAAGTTGAAGTCAGAATTATTAGGCCTCTTTTGATTTAATTTTTCTTTATATATATATATATATATATATATATATATATATATATATATAAAAAAAAAAAAGAGAGAGAGAGTGAGTGTCTCTCTCTATCTATATATATATATATATACACACACACACACACACACAGAGAGATATATATATAAATAAAGGTAATAGATATGTATACACACACACACACACATATATATATATATATATATATATAAAAACACAC